ACAACAACGGATCATCGATTTCCCGCAGGGTGTGCATTAACAGTACAACCAAAAAGTTTTTTAAAAGCATAAACAAACTTGTAAAATGCTGAACCAAATGCTGAATCGTTAAAAATATAAAAGCTATGTGGAGAAATGAGAGATACAGTTGTAAGTTCTCCATTGTATTTGTAATAAATACAGAAATAAAGATAATTTTTGATTTGCGCTCTCGTACAATACGCGAATATAAATTGCTAGTTTATTACGATTGTTGATTTATTTCTCTTCTGATTTTACTCTTTCATTTTCAAATTTTCTAACTTTGGTTTATTTTATATTTATAATGTATCGACGTATATATTTTCTTGAATTTTTTCAAATACATGGAATAAGCGTTAAGATTAAACTGTATGAGAAACATAGCTATTTCCACTATTATGAAAATTTTAATAAAAAAATAACTATCCACTCATTTGTGGTTAGATAAATATTTTATCATATTTCATATATCATATTTCAGCGAAACTTCACGCAAATTTGCATTAATGTAATCAAGTTTTCAACCGCTTTGCGATAGTTTCATTATTAAATTGTTGTTTATTATACAGAGAAGTTAAATTAACTCACTCAGATTCTGAAATTCTATTTTAATAAATACTACACAATACCACGCGAAAGATTTTTAATCAATCGAGATCTTTCAAGAAAACATTTTCGATTGCAAGTTGTTTCATTGATATTTACCACAAAAAAATATTTGTTCAAAGGCGTTCAAAGGCAAAAAAATATTCGTTATTTTTACGCGACGGAGTAGATAGATATGTTGTATTTTTTTTAAATCAATTATACAATTTATTAAAAAAAGGTAGAAAAACCATTTTATTTGCGTGAATCTGGTTTTTTTACTATTACCATCGAAAAAATATTTGCAAAAACGATCCAGGCTCGTCGATTCTATTTAAATGGACATTCGCGAGATGAAGCACTTCATGTTTTGCCACCAGATCGAAATTGCAAAATCGCGTGGTACTGTAATGAATCTTTGGCCGAATCCAGTCCGTTCGACCTAGAACTCGCCTAATCTAGGTGAAACCAGCTGGCGCATTGTTGAAATCGATGAGGTCGTTATATCGTCCGACAAACGATTTCGAACGGAAGTGGCGTGTTTGCCCGGAATCACATCGATAACGTGTAGCCTTGCCGTGTACATAATACGTGTTTCATGTGTGACGAAACATCGCAAGTGATTTCGCGCCAGTAGCATCAACTATACATCATTAGCCTTCAAGAAATTACCGGGTCGGCCATTCATTTAAACCGTCTTAGAGAACAAGGTTATCGGTTATCTGTAGAAATTCGTATGATCTTCCCTAAAATCGATACGAACCACTTTCGGGATGAATCACAATCGCAGCTGATTGTAGCACGTGCCTCGCTTGTAGAAACAAGATAGCTTTATACAGCTTATGTGATGATTTAGATGCATCTCATGATTACTAGACGCTCCTAGCATTTTTAATAATATATTGTACTTCACAAAATATTTTCCCAACAATCTTAGTAATAAATGTATTTATAGTTATTTATGTGATTCGAAAGTTGCACGAGACCCGGAAATATTAATGAATTGTATGTAATATTAATGAATTGTATGTAATATACTTTACATTATTAATTGTGACATTTATTTAGTCATCACGTTTGACACTTTGATTATTAATGCATATTTTCTAGTACAAACACGATCAGTTAAAATTTCTACCGTGTTATGCGCTTAATCATGGCTATTAATACTCTTAACGAGCACGCACTCAATTATCGCATACGACATCGAATGCATTGATAAATAACGCAAATCGCAATATATTTTGGTATCACAATAATTGCGCGATCTCGCCAGATTTCCGATTTTATCGTTGTAATAGTAGACGTATACTTGAGCGAATATCACACAAATTTTCACTACCAACGATTTCATGAAAGCTTACTGTGCAACGTGAGTGCGCGATCGATGAGTAAAATGCTGGTAAAGCCTCGCGTGCAATCGGCCACGTAATCTGCAGCGTAGATATGCTTGAATGGTTCCAACGTGGGCGCCCTTGATAGTTTAGAATAAAGGATCAGTCCGGAAAAATAGCACTTTCACGATACGGTGTCCAATTACGGAAACTATTTTTCCATTAGAGCTACGGTGGCACCGGCTAATCTCGTTTACAAGATTAAACACCCGTGTCATGTGTCAGGATCAGTGAGGGAAAGAACACTGACATCTCATAAAACGCGAGAAACACAAAAGTCCAATATCGAAAGGCCGATATTAAAATGAAAATACACGGGTTAAACGTGCTCAAAGATGAACTTTCGGTTTATTTAGCATGCGTTACATAATGCGTCATTCTTAAAATAAATACGGGCGCAATGAATGAATCGACTTGAGACTATGTGTCGTAGAGCAAAATTTTACCTCGAAAGTTCAAAGACAAATTATCAAATATTGAATGTTTAATGTGTTAGGTGCGCGTTAAATTAACGAAGGTTGTCTGTGCGAATTTTACTTTGATATAGATAACTAGGAGTTTCGCAAATATTTGGCAAAATTTCTTGGCAGCTATTTACAAAAGAATCGGCCGATTTGCTAAAAGCAGTGGCATCAGTGTCCTTTTGACATAAATTAATGATACATAAACAAACATAAATAAATAATTTTCAACGTAAATTTATGTTTTGGTAAACAAATTGTAACTTTATATGTAACAATAAAAATTTAAGGTATTATTGCGATTTAAAGATCGTTAGAATGGAAATGAGATCTATAAAATAGCGTGCGAAAAACTAAACTAAAAACTAAATTTAAAGCTTTCCGTAGAAACTTTTGTAATTAAAAACACAATAATAGAATGCTATATATTAAATAGATGTTAAATGGAATTTACGGATATATGCAGGAAACATATGATATAATACTACAATATAAAAACATATGATATTCTTAAAGTTATTAGCATTCGTAGAAATTATTATAGCACTCGTAATACTTTATACACAGTTTTAATTATTTTAATTTTACAAGATTTCATTTTATTTTAAATTGACATTGTTTTTAATCCTCAATTGGTAGTTTGTTTGAAGTCGAGCCATCGGATCAACTTCCGGTTGTACCGCGGCGTAATAGAGTTGACAAAACTTGTTTCGAAGATTCGAAATTGCTCGTTACACTACTATTACTATGTCCAATTACAGGGGCGAACACCCAACACTCACTCGATCGAAATTGCAGTCAAGATCTTTACATTCGACGCGTTTACCAGCCTAATTGTTCGATTTGCGCAGCGTTGATTCAATCCGTTCAATATTACTCATTATCCGATGCGATTTGGACAATTAACTCGATAAATGTGCGGAATAAATTCATTTACGTTAAATTACACTATGCAATTCGCCCGATTACATTCACCAGAAATAATTTATACGCGCGTTCGTATGTATTAATTAATGTGATTTACGTGCCACGCGGTTCTTAATATCTTGAATTAGCACGCTCGTAGGCGAATAATAGCTCGGAATGCGCGCGTTATTCACCTGCAAATTGTGCAAATTTTTTATCCGCAAGATGCTTAGCATTGAAACAAATCCAGAAATTCTCTCTTGTTGAAAACAAATAGCCTATTATGCGATAATATCGTATAAAGAGAATAATGTCGCTTCTTCTCAATAAATCATTTTCCGGTGATTGTTGCGAATTCTAAGCGCAACAACAATCGCCACTTTAAGCGTTCGATCGTTTCTCATTTATATCACACGACTGCTAAAGCCAGATGCTACGTTCGACTTAAAGGAGGATGCAATCGAATAACTCTACCGCTCTGCACCCATTGTACTCATTGTCTTTGTCGCTATTGTCGCGAGCTCGTATCGAATTCTTACTTGCCCGACCATGGACGCCAATTGCACGAGCTACCTCAAAGCGAAGCTCCGCGTACCCGGGAAACTATACCTTCCTGTACGGATGCTTTAATCCATGAATTTCGCGATGTGGACGTAGTAACTCTTGCGGAAACTATAAATGTTGCGGTTAATACAGAGAAATAGCATTCGGAAAGTTATGTCGGTAGCACACGATTTTACTGTAAACTGGCCATGCGGAATTACAATCGTTTCGCTAATCGAATTTATGAGAAAATCGATATTCGTGTCGACATATACGAGTAATCTTCCGCGATAAAAGAGAGACTCTCACTCGGAAATAAAAATATTCGCAATTTAATGGCTTGCGCTTCAAATTTGTTGATGATGCAAGTCTTCCGTTTTTTTTTTATCTGTTTTTTATTCACGAGAGTATTTTATGGAAATATTTGCCATCGCGGAAGAATAATTTCAGTTTAAATCGCGAATGACGTTAAATTATTCGTAAATCGTGGTGCAAACTTTGTCGCAAATATATCTTTTGACTGTAAATAGTTTGCAATTTTTTCATAGGCAGTAGGATAAAACTTCCAAAATACGGTGATTTTTTTTCGCGTAATTTTAGCTCACTTTGTGACACGAAAAATAACCGAATTTTGGCGTACCTAGGTTCGATCCAATCAATTTGTTCGTAATAGAAAAAAATTGCACAGTCGCTACGAGACATTCAGATATCGGCAACTAGTTTATATTCGTATATTGAAAATTTTTTTAAACGCAACTATTGACAGTTAAATTTTCCCTTTATATGCTTGAATTTTAATTTCACTTTTTATATTTTGCTTGCATATGGATATTTGTTAATTTGTTATTATTTAAAATATCGATTCTTAGTAATTTCTACGAGATAGAAATAAAATTTAGGAATCAAATATAATAGATTTGATGACAAAATATTTGATTATTTATTGATTTTCGATGATTGCCATTAAGATTTTTTAATGGAATTAATTGAAATGAAGAGGTGCAATGCAAAATCACGTCGAAAGTGGCTCCAAGTACTCCAAATAAACCGAGTTGTCTCAGAAATATTGAAGAATATCATTGATTTTCAGCTTATTGGCTTTTAAGCAAGATCGTGTAGATGGATCACGTGATGCAGCTGAGAAAAAAGAAATGTCGAGAACGATACGTTTCGATCTGACGATAGAAAGATCTGCTGGAAGATCTACTGAGAATTGCTTGAAAATTTGATCCAAGTACGTCGTCTAGACGGACGAGTTTAATCCCGCTGGATTAACCACCCGCGAATAATTTTCCGACACTCTTCTTCAGACAACGTCACGGAGGCTGTTTTATTCTTCTCGTAATTCGGTCATATCAGGCTTTCGTTTGTCTCTCTTGAGGAATTTAGCGAATAATCGAAGATGGAGGAAGACGATACCGAGGATGTGCGCGAGACTATCAGTCAGCTGATGAACCGACTCACCACGAAAGTTACTACATCTTCTACGAAATTTACATCCAAGACTAACCGGCAGATTCTACGAACGCAAGAATCGGCCGAAGATTCCGACACGATGGAATGCGCGTCTGAAAATGAAGTTGAGAATCTGCCAAAGGATGAAGACACGTCGATTAAGATGCGCGGCAGGATATCTGAGAGGAGTCATCACTCTCTGGACGTTCCGGACGAAGCCGACTTTATGATGCGTAAAAAGCTGACGACAGCATCGTCTCTTCGCGTAAGCGACGATTCGAAATATATCGGCTCGCGGATGGGCTTTTTCATGTCGACTCGCAGCCCGCAGTCGAGCTCCAGTCAAGAGGAATATGAACCTGAAATCAAGAGCATCTCGAGATTGCAGTTGCAACAACAATGCCAGCAACAGCATCAGCAGCAGCAGCATCTGTTGACAATCGGTGGTGTCGGTAGCCAAGTGACCGCCAGATCGATGGAAAGTCTGCGATCGTCGAAAAATTTTCTCAGCGCCGACGATCACTTCAACGAGGACTCGAAATCAATGGAATCGCTGTCCTCGTCCTCGGAAATGCACATGGGTTCATCGTCAAGGGGCCACTATAGAAGCTTCCTGACGTCATCCACCAAGGACGTGCGCAAAATCATAACAGTCGAGTCGAAGAGCAGCGAGAACCTGCATCGGGAGGAGAGCCTGAATGCCGAGGTCAGACGTGGTCTTTTCGCCAATACCGGCTTCGAAAGGAAGATACCGCAGCACCTGAGTCTGCCACCGCCGTCTAGCATATTCTCTTTGACAAGTCCGGGAGGCAGCGATCGCAAGATCACGATCCTGAGCCCACATTCGCCCATGCAAACGTCAGAGTTTCAATTCTCTGCGCAAACCCTCAAGAGTAGACGCAAGAAGGCCATCGTTTTGCCGAGGTTGGTGTTGCCGCGAAGCGAATCCGAGGTCTTTTTAGAGTGAGTAGCTGAATGATCGAATTTCCTCTTCTGTTTTGCCACTGTTTGTCGGTGTTTTTCGAGGTAGGATCGCTCGAGGCGATTATTCTTGTGTTATTATTTGCTGAGTTAACCTTTTCGAGTTTCGTTGATCTGTAAAAATGAAGTAGAATGAGGGAAAATTGATGGGAATTTATCGCGTAAAATCTTCGACCGAGCGATGAATAAATCAATCGATATGAATGCGCGAGATACTAAACAAGACCGAAGCTAATATGCATTGTTGTAATTATTATAGCCACTGGATATCGAAATACACGTGCGAATATTTAATATTTATCATATACATTGTTTTAATCTACCGGGATGTGAATTATATTATAGCGCGAATGATTATTTCATTATGATTAAATTGATTGAATAATCCATATCGCTCATATGCAAAAGGAAATCTATGTAGCATATAATATTGTAATGATATATTGTTACTGTTGAGCTCCCAGCAATTATATATGAAAAATTTTAATAATTTGTAGATATAAATCGAGATTTATTATTTATTTCAGGATAATTTCCAAAAAAATAGTCATTTAATTACGATATTTACAATATTTCAAATTTTTTTCTTTAAGAGACAAAACTCTTTGCAAGTTTCTTGTATTTTACTAAAGTCGTGGTGACATTGATATTATAACTTTATTTGTCAAGGGGAATAACATCATAATATTTTTATTTAAAACTCTATTAACATAATATTAAAAAGACAAGTCATAACATTATTTTTTATTGTTATGAATTATAATTATAATTTTAACGATATGAATTATAATTATAATTTTAGATATATTTGTTTTTGAGGAAGTGCTAAGTAGAACATTACATTGTTAAATATTATTCTTGCTATTCGAAAAAAGATGGAACTGTTTGCCGCAGGAAAACATTTCTTTGTGATATGAATCGAGTACGTTGCAAACTCTATTTAAAATTAATTTGATGCTTTTTGATTAAAATAGTGTCCCCATTTTAGTTATATTGAAATATATTATCATGTATACATGTTTTACAAATATGTAAATATATATTTTGCGACTGCTATGCATATTAATATTGCTATTAATTTGTAATAATAAGTCAATTATACAATCACATAATTGAACAGATAATTATATACAATTTATGAACGTGTTGTTTGATAATTTAAAGATTATATCATTTATTAAACATAACATATCAATAAATCTTTGTGAACAAAGTACATTATTTAATGTAGTTTGAAAAGACAAAGTATGTAAAAATATAAAATCTTGTAATCTTTATCAGAGGCCTAAAAGTTAGTTACTTTGTGAAAATGATGCAAAATATTATGTATATTTTATTCTTGAAAATGATCATCTCGAATTTTCTTGAAAGCACTGCTAATGGTCTTAACTTTGATTTTGTGCTCAGCATATAAAACTTGACGCACAATTATCCAACCTCTGCGTGGTTCATTTAACATGTTATATTTTGCTTCTCTCGTAGCAATCTCTTGCTTTCTAGAAATAGTCGATAATTAGAAGCATGTTGTGTAAAATAATTATATAACGGGCATACAGTTACGTGTCTCTCTTAATTTAAATTATAATCTCTCGAATATTAAACAGGAAATAACGTATGGCTTTTTCGCCATACGTTTATAACGATTGCCTCTCTGATCGCAATCTCTGACAAATTATAATAATTATGTCATATTTTAAGTGGGAACATTTGTCGATCATACGCGAGAGTTTACCGTACGTCTTTCAACTAGGACGTTCGAAAATAGATTGCGCGTCTAGATGCTTTCAAGAGTTGAAAATGTCTGCCAATGAATGTGGCATGGAACACGAACGAGAGAGATGTGGAAATCTTTCTCATGCTGCTTTTTCCTGGAGAAATGACGTCGAACGGGATTGGAAACCATTTAGACGTCCAATCAGAATAAAGTTACATTCGTTCGATTGACGCGAACGTACCATCCTGATGGTGCAAAGTAGCGAATTTTTTTTTTTTTCTTGATTCTTTAAAGGCATATTTGTAACGAGGTAATTCGCGTTTTCAAAAAAAATTCAACTTCCCGTCAAAAGAAAAAAAAAAGAATATACATCTCATATAAAAAAGATTTAGAGCAACTTGATTTTTCTGAATTGAATGTAAAACGATCTTCAATCAGGATTGACGTATGTTCGAAAAGCATATATTTATGATGTATGCGCGAATTATTCATGAGTGAAAATATGACTTGGTAAATATATTTTCTTGACGGCTTCTGCGCGTGTTTCATTTTTTTTTTATTACAGAATTCTCCTTTGATCTTGTACACATACTAAAACGGCTGAAAAAATTTGTGAAAAATGATTTCGCATAATATTCTATATTTCAATATTACTTATCAGTTCTTATGTATCAGAAAAATAACTATTTATATTCTTCTCAATCTATCGCGTGAAAAAAATGGCAAAGTTAGTAATTAATCTGTGGGTTCTCGAGTGGAAGCTCGACAAGATAAATTCGGCGATTGATTAAAAGTTTTTTTATGGCTTCGTACGAAATCTTTATTAAAGTCAAATCTTATTAAAAGTTATTCAAGAGTCTTTTGTAAGATACGATTTTATTTGCATTAAGTCATTAAAATAATTAATCAGTAATTTACTTGATTAAATATTCCATGTAATTTCGAATAGTTGATATAATTTTTTTTTGTCGCGTTGCACTAAATCATTTTTACACGTGCTAACATTACACCAAGAGGATTTTTCTTTATAATAAAACTATTCATTTCTGTTAATGAAAAATTGACTTTAATCTCATCAAAGCTTTTGTTGCCTCAAAGAAAATATTATACAAACAGAAAATATAAATAAATATTCTGGACTGGGATTTTATTTGTAATATCAATTTATTTATAATATTAATTAGTAATATTAATTATATAATAATTCTTTGTAATGTTAATTAGGATTACAATATAATAATTATAAAATGTAAAATAATTACAAAAACAGACATGTTCTCTTGATAAGAATTGATATGTTGGGACTGGAAATATCAGAGTACACAAAGTTGAAACATGCTTAAGCATAGCGGGTTAAAGCTTCGATCGTTCATATAGCTCTCATGTTGCGCAAAAGCCTTTCATTTTGTATATGATCATAGCTATAGTGAAGTAATGCACCACTGTTTTCTCTTCTCTTACCTGCATTAAAAATCTTCTGACATTATCCGTAAAGGGCGCCATCGAGTCTGAACTCGTTAAATAAAACCTTTTTAGGTTTTGCTGCACCCTCGAGAAGTTAAGTAGAAAATATAACGAAGTAACAGTGGTTTCGTTATAAGATTTGCTTAGAGTAATTACGGTTCTATATATATTGTACTCACACTGTTTCTTTGATGTTTGATAAAAGTTAAAGTAAAGTGCTTTAATTAACCTATACTCAGACATACAAATACAATTCTATCCATTATCATTTACAAGAACATTCATTAATTATGAAATCTATATTTATGTATAACATATATTGATATATAATACTAAACGTGCATTCTCATTAATTCAATATTATTTAGTCGATTGTCTATTATTGCTTTCTGTCTTGTAGGCAATAATAATTCATTTAATCTTTTTGTTTGATAGGCAATAGTAATTCCTGTAGTCATCAAATAATATTGATTTCTACATTGTTGTTTTCTTTAGAAAAGACTAAAGAAAAAACAGAAAAATCTAAAATGTCATTTAGTGATACCAGTGGCGTTGAAAATATTTATTTATGACACATTGTTTTAGATAACTTTGATGTTTAGCTTGGTATTGTTATTTTTCAGTATTACTACGGTTGTATTTTTATTCATACGAAAAATCGTTGACTATGACATTGACACATACGTGATGTTACCATGATATATTGCCGACACAATCATCATTTTCTTTTAAAATTTTTATTAATCTATGCTGAATTGGGAGCATATTTAAAATTATATAATTAAAATTTTTGGCAAACTACAACATAAAAAAAAAATTAATAAAAATAATATCAGGCTTGCAAAAACAAAAAAATTGAATTAATATTAAAAGTGATATTTATTTTAACTAAATTGAAAATTATCATTATTTCTTGTATGATATATTTGTAAATGAAGATTTTTGAAATTGTCAAAATATTGTAATATTGATAGCATAAGAGCGTAACATTAATTAAAAAGATGGTATGATGTAGTTACGTGAACTCGTTGAATGTAGCTAGTTAGTTATTTATGTTGCTACAAGTGACGGATGAGAGAACATTAATTTCCCATCAATTACTTACATTGCCCTTTGAGACACACCATGTTGTATTGCAACATAGCTTTGCAGGAATCACTAAATTAAACACAAATGAATGAATGTAGAATCAACAATGCATTAAGAACACGTGAAACATGAATATAAGAGATTTCATGCTTGAATTTTGATATTTCTGTAACTGAAATAGCAGCATATTTTTACGAAATAAACTCACAAATGAGAACAAAATTATTCACTTATTCTATTTTAGTGATTTTGAATTTACTCTTGCGTATGCACGCAACGTTACACGCTAATTAATCGATCAATATTACAGTGCGTTGTTTGTCGAGTAGTTGATTGCAACTCCAGATACAAGTTTGCCTACAGTTATTCTGTCTCTAGTTAAATTACATTATTCAGTACGATAAATTGTTACATAGTTTGTAATCCGTGCAAAATATCTTATGTGAAATCTTATGAAATGTTATATAGTTTTAAACTAAAATTTTAAATTTTAAATTTTGAATTGACCGAAATTCAGTTTTTTATAATCGTGGAAATCATGCTATGGACAATTAATGGTATTACTTCTCTCGATAAAAGCGATTTACACATATTGATACAAAAACTTGTCCATTCTAAATTTGTTATTCATCTAGAATCGAAATATTGTATTTAATAATAAATCTTGCATTTCTTATTTATCACGGAAGAAACGAGAAGATATTGCTTATAATTT